CGGATCTCTGTGAGTTCGAGGCCAGCCTGGGCTACCAAGTGAGTTCCAGGAAAGGCACAAAGCTACACAGAGAAACCCTGTCTCGAAAAATCAAAAAACAAAAAACAAAAAAATAAAATAAATAAAAAATTAAAAATAAAATTTCTTTTCAAATGATAATTTTTTTCCAGTTTGGCCATGGAACCCAGGACCTTAACATTCTAGGTAAGTGATCTACCAATGAGCTACTGCATCCCAAACCCAGCTGAAGCAATGAAATCTGGGGCTGGACAGATGACAAGATGGTACTCAGTGGTTCAGAGTACCTCCTGTTCTTCCAAAGGACTTAAGTTTGCTTCCTAGACCAAGCGGGGAAAGCCAGAGCAAGCACTCCTCAGGTGCACATGCCCACACAGACACACCCATAATTAAATAATCATAATAATTAATTATTATCTATTATTATTTAAAGCAGTAAAATTTGTGTTGTGTTTATTCTCATTTAAAAGAAAAAAGCAATTGGGCAGCCAAGGCTACACAGAAAAACCCTGTCTCAAAAAAAACAAAAGAATAAATTAAAAAGAAAAAGGAGAGAATTAGGGCCATGTAGCTCAGTGGACAGCACTTGTTTAGCATGTTTGAGGCCCAGGTCTAATCCCTAGTACTGTCACAAATAGAAAAAGAGAAAGAACAGGGAGAAGAAGCCGAGTGCCTGCTTTGAGCCCCACTGCCCCAACTCTATCACTGCCCACAGTCTGTTTGTGATTTTTGAAAGAAAACTGTAAATGGAAGGGCACCACTGAGCCCTAGTGCTAGTGCCCGGGTTCCCACAGCTGGACAAGTGCCCCACCCTGAGCTACATTCCCAATTACCCAGTGCCTTAAGGTAAACATCTCCCTTCTCCCTAGGTGGAACACACTTGTAATCCTAAGAGTTGGCAGGCTGAAGCAGGAGAAAGAAAGAGCCTCCTCGGGGCCTGGGGATTTAGGTCAGTAGTAGAGCACCAGCCAAGGAAGCCCTGGGTTCTGTCCTCAGCACAGGGAAGAGAAGGACATACATAGTCTCACCAGCTCTATAGATCACATTTTTAATTGAAGTTTCTACTTGCTTGTTTGTTTTTTGTTGTTATTGTTGTTGCAGACAGGCTCTCAAATGTATGGTTCTACATCATCCTTTCTTCATGTTGGAGCATAGTCTGCAGTTTGGACACGTGAGCATGTTCACCCAGTTCCCTCCTGATGGACTTTTCAGTTGTTTACACCTCGTGTCATTTCTCTTGTTCTTTCTGTCCAGACACTGGAGAAATATGGATGTGTGTTCCAAGGGCTTGGTGTGGAAGGTCACTTCTTAGGTAACACTATCATGTGGTCGATGGAGAGCTGGAAGCTGTGGTACCTTACTACCAGGGCACAGAAGCCAATTGGATCTTGCAGGATGCCCAGGGGACACTTGGGGCACTCACCACACTGGATGCGGTGGTCGATGCATTTCCATGCGTAGCGGTCTAGCTTGGGGCTGCAGCCAGTCTCCTGAGCTCGAGAGTAGCAGCAGTCATGATGGTGGCAGCACCTGGGGGTGCAGCATGGGCAGAGCAATAGCTGTGTCAGAGGGAACTCCTGGTGCCCCCATCTGACCGGGGCTGGGCTAGTGGCCTCTGATGGACATGGGGTCCCTCATAGTACCAATCCTGGGTTGGCTGACCAGCCCTGCTCCCTGACCTTACCTGGCCTGCCCCTGCCTGCCTCCTTGTAACTCTGAGCTCCCCTTCCTTCCTCGGTCCAGGTTGTGCCTTCTGCCTGGACAACTCAATGGCCCCAGGCACCAGATTCCACCCAGAAGTGATCATGCCTCCTTCTCTCTCCTCAGGCTAGGAATATGTCTTGTCACACCCTGTCATAAAACCTCCCTCCTACCAGGAAGGTTGATCATGAATTCTCACTATAAACCTCATACCGTTTGGAACTCTGTGGAACCCTATCATCTCCTTTCCTCACAGTGTCCTCCAGGGCCAGCTAGCCTGCCATATAGTAGAACTTCAGTAAACATTTATTGTTGGACAGTTCCCTGAGAGACACCCATACCTGCCCTCACACCTTGCAACACTCAGCTGAGGCTTCAGGCAGTCAGCTCCAACCTTGTCCTTAGAAAGCCTCCAGTCTGTAGAGGGAGGCAGATCAGCTATGTGATGTGGGGTAGCCAGAGGGGCTCTCGGAGTCCAGAGGAGGTGGCAGCCCTAGCTAAGCTTCAGGGGAGGCTTCTTGGGGGTAGGAACTGCAGAGACACTTCTGAAGATGGTGTGGGAACCAGACGGCCAGAGTGTAGGAGTGCACTTGGCTGTCATGAAATGCACCCAAGGTCCAGGGCAAGCCAACATGTTTCTGTCTCCAGCTAGGGAGGAGGTAACCATATTCTACACTGATCACTGAATTAGCTTTGTGGCAATGGCTAGTGTCTGGGTCTCTGGGAGCCCCAGGGACTTTATTATCAAGTGGGAATAAGCATCATGCTTCTTCCTGAGGAGAGCCATGATGGATGTCACAGAAAGATCTTGGCTCTCAGCTTTCTTGGGGCAGGCTTTTCACAGGGTATTCTTTATGCTCTGTGCTGGCCCAGATAAGCAATTTGATGGTTCTGTAGCTTGGTTTCCTTATCTGTGAAATGGGACTGTTAAGGATTCTCAGAGATCCGTGGCTGTACAATAAATAGTCTAGATAGCTTTATGTTATTACTAGGTGATGTCATCAGGGTAAATGTTAGCTGTTACCAAGATGCCTCTTACTGACCCCAGAACCCAGGAACCCCTCTATATACAGGGTAATGCTAGGTTCTGGGATCTTCCTAGTTCAAACCTGACTTCAGTTTGGGGTTTTCCCTCATAGGCCTTGGCTGTCCTAGGAGTTGGGGGATCTTGTACTCTGAGTCCCAGTGTACACTCACCAGTCAATGGCATCACGTGGGTCTCCATGGCCACCCAGGCCACAATAACAGCCATAGTTCATGTAGGCCACCGGTGATCGAGGACCAACACAATCCAAGGTTCCTGCCAGTTCCAGGAGCCCACGCTTGTACACATGTGACCTCCTTGTTGCTGAGGAATAAACAAAGGTCAGAGCTTCAAGGTCAGAGCTTCCCTATCCCTAGTGAAGGGCACTAGTCTGACAAGGATCTAGATGTTTCAACTTGTCTGGGTTTCATCCCATTTTCTAGGTGTGTGCCCTTGGACAAATGATAGTTTCTCTGTGCTTTGATTTCCTCGTTTGCATAGTTCGGGATAGAGTGGCGTCAACTCTCAGAATAAAGTTGGACAAGGCATTCATGGTGCTCTGCACATTACAAACTCCATTACAATCCAGATCTTCAAGGCAATGTGAGCAGAAAAATGAGTTGTAGAGCACAGTATAGGAGAGACCACAGCAGTGGACTTTTGCACAGGCTGATCTCTTTCCCTAGAATGCCCTGGTTCTCACTGCTCTGCCCCTTCGGATGCAGTCAGACTACATGCTGTGCATTCAATATTTATCATGCTGATTTGCTAGGTGCTTGCTTGTCATAAGAGATAAGCTGAAGAACATCCTTGCACAAAGGAGTTTGTCTGGGGGTTCTGAGTCTCTGAGCCTCTCTACCCTCCTCTAAGATTCTGGCTTAGGACCCTATATATCAACTTTTATTTTCACCTCAAGGTCAGCTTCCTTCCTTAGCCTGAGTCCAGCCATTTCTCTGGGTCCTGGTACTCCTCTAGTGGTACTCAATGGGTGCAACAGTAAACCCTGCATTTGAAAGGTAAAAAAGGGACCAGCTGGGGAAAGTGGCCTCCAAACTCCCCCAGCTCAAGCAGTGGAGCTAAGGGGGACACTGGCAAGAGAGCAGGACCAAACGCCCAAGTCTGTCTGCAGAGTGTCTGTGTCCACCGCACCCTCCCCTCCCCCACTCCAGGATGGAGGACAGTGGAGGTGCAGCCTGGCCCTGGGCTGCCATGGCTCTCGGCTGTCACTTAGAGCATGTTTCCATCATAATGACTTATTTAAGGGCTCCACACTAAAGTTAAATCCAATCATGTTTTCTCTCAAGTACCACACTAGAGGCTGAGAGGGGTTTCTCAAGGTGTCTCCGATAAGAAGAAAACTGAATTTAAAGAAACTGGGGCTCTAACTCGGGTGGTAGAGGGTTTGCCTGGCATACACTGGTTTCCATCCCTAGCACTGTATAAAGAATGGTAGCCTGTACCCATAATCCCCAGCACTTCAAGGTGGAGGCAGGAAGATTAGAAGTGAATGTCCTTGGCTGGATAGAAGTCTGAGGCCAGCCTAGTCTACACTTTCCTTTCTGGATGAGAAGCCTGCCCTCTTCCAACAGTCCCCACACTTGCCTTGAGCCTTCCATGGTTCCCATGGATTCAGGGTGAAGCTCCCAGTTCCACGGTACTCCATATCCCAGTGGAGATCCAAAGCTTGACCCCCAAGCCTTCCTACCTCTCCAGAACCCAGCCGTCCCTCCAGTCAGGCCCATCACACGACTGCCCCTGCCTTCTCTTCAGCCAGCTCACAGAAGCCTTACTTACTCTACAGGTGGCCCATGCTGTGCCTGCTTGTGGGAGTGCTCTTCTTGCTTAGATGCTCTTCCAGAACAGATCTCTGACTCACATAGCTGCATATTCTGACACACAGAAAGGCTTCTAGGAAAGGTCTGCTGACCTCAGGAGCCACCAAGCCCAGGTCAGACACTCCTAGCCTAACCACTCCAACACTGTCCCCTGAAACCATAGCCCAGCTCCCCCCACTCCGCCCCTAGCCACTCTGCTGTCACAGAGGCTGGAACAGCCATGAAGGGCCCAGGTGAGGGACAGACAGCAGCACTGGGTTTGGAACCAAACAAAACACTCCCTTTGTGCTAACATAGGTGGGGCAGGTCAGGCTGGGGTCTGTTTGCTCTGTCTATGTGGGCAGCTTCCACTGGCAGTGCCAGGACCACGGGGCATTGTACAGGCCCAAGGACTCAATGCTGGTATACACCCAGTGTGGGTCGTCCTAGGCATCCCTGAGCTGTGCTACCCAGCTGGTGGATCTGTGACATGGATCTGGAAGATTTTGTCCTGGAGTAGAAGCTTCACACCTCACCTCAGTACTCAGGTAAAGCCAGGTACCCCAGGACTAGGGAGTCACCAAGAGAAGCCTTTCTCTAAAGGGGGTTTCCTCACCCATCCACAGGAGTCTAATTCCTATCCATGATCCTCCTACCCACAGAGTCCTGCCTGGAAGTCTTACCTCAGACCCCAAAGACAAGGCAAGTGATTGCCAGTTCAAGAGGGCTCAGGACCGGGGGCTGGGAGCTCCAGGCTGCTGGCGAGGACTGCAGTAACTATGGGATTATGGAGGGAGGACTCTGACACCCCGTCACCCGCTGAGTTCCTGAATGGAATGCCTGAGTGGAGGGCGCTGGAAGGAATCAGAGACAGGGCTCCTGAGTGTCTGGGAAGGTAGGTATGTAGGCATCTGAAGAAAGGACTGGGGATTTTAAGGCTTCTGAGTGCTTTAAGGGTCTGTTGAGTTGGAGGTGGTGAGAAAAAATGAGGAGGTATGGAATCTGACTTGGGCTGGAGGAAGACAGTCGTCACCCACCCTCGCTGGTCACTCACCCTCATTGAGTCTGGGTCCAGGTCCTAGCAGCAACAGTAGCAGCAGCAGCAGCAGCATTATTAGCCAGCACAGGGTAGCCCACAGGCGTAGGAGGGTGGCAGGTGTGGGACTGACCAGAAAGGCTAGTCGTACACTCAGCAATCCTGCTGACCCTCACCTCCAATCCCGCCCCCACCTCACCTTCTTTCCGTGGGGCGGAGTCCAACAGGCGTGGTCACCTGGCGTCTTGGGGAGTGTCTGTCCCTGACTTCTGCAGATTGGTCCCCCGAAGGGATCCAGACACCAAATGGAGTGCTAAGGATAAAAGGGGGTCAGGCCGGGGATGCCTCCATGGTGTGAAAAGATGCCGTGTTGATGTTGAAGAGCACGGGAATGCTAATTCACCTTAGCATTTTACAACGCCCGCAGCTGTGCTCCTGTGGGGCGGTGGCAATTGACTCTCTCTATATAGTCTCCCCGTGATACCACCACAAAGTGAGAAACTGAGGTAGTCAAAGTTTGCCCAAAGTCATGCAGCCATTTCTGGTAAAAGACAGGGCTGGAGCCCTGGTGGTGGTGAACTGGGGATCTGGGACAGAAGGATGTGGGGGATTCTGAACCAACCTGGATCACAATGTGGTCTTGGAGGGGAGGCAGGGAGTGAGGAGGGAGGAAAGAGAAAAAGGACAGGCATGGAGGGCAGAAGGCCCTGCCAGCATCACATGGACTATCTATTCCATGCAGTCTACCCCAGGCTTCTCTTTGTTGGATGGTTTCCTTCTGGAGAAGTGGACTCAACAGATGCTCTCTACTGAAAAGAAATGACCATTAGAGGCATTGCTTTTGCCCCGATGCTAACACTGCACAATCAGGCCCCATTTCTTTTTCTCCCTGGAACTCACTTTGTAGACCAGGCAGGCCACAAATTTTTGCTTCTTACCTGAGCTGAGTGGAACCTTGGGAAACACCCATACCTTATGAACAGATTCTAGTAAAGTGAGAATTATATCCAGCAATAAATAAATAAAAAGTAAATGACAAGGGGAAATTGGGTCTCCCTGGCTTTGAAGGTTCACCACACACATGTTTCTGTTGTTGTTGTTTGTTTGTTTGTTTGGTTGGTTGGTTGGTTGACTGGTTTTTGTTTTTTTTTTTTGAGGGGGGGATTTGTTTTGTTTTATTTTTTGAGACAGGGTTTCTCTGTGTAGCTCTGGCTGCCCTGGAACTCAATCTATAGACCAGCCTGGCCTCTAATTCACAGAGATCTGCCTGCCTCTGCCTCCCAAGTGCTAGGATTAAAGGGGTGCACCACCACCACCCAGCACAACACAGGTTTTAGCCTAGGCCCTCAACCAATTCACTGTCACAGAAAGATACTGAGGATCTCTGAAATGAAAAGCCAAAGGGCGGGTGGGATGGCTCCGAGGGTACCACACAAGTCTGGAGACCTAAGCCTGAGCCCTAGAACCCATGGAAAGATGGAAGGAGAGAACTGACTCTACAGAGTTGTCCTCTGACCTCTATACTTGTACTGTGCCCTCCCATGCATCTTGCTCATACATACACACTATAATAATACATCTAAAAATGTTACATATTAAAAGTAGGGGAACCATGACTACAACTCATTATACATAGTATTCAACCTCTCTTTGCCCCTGCTATAATAATTCGAAGGGGACAGGCTTCATCCCTTATCTACCGACTGGAGTGTGAGAGTTGGGCCACAGTCTGGTCTCATGCTTCTTGTGTGGCCATCACTGATCTGCCTGGCCCTTAGTCACCATTCAGTAAAAGCTTTCTCATATAGTACAGATGGGATTTCAGATGCTTCAAGTCTTTGAATTACAGAAAATATAAGTAACAACCTCAGTGTACAACACCATTAGGAAAGGACAGGGGCTCCTGTGACCTCAACACTCATATCCACCTGCTCCAGGAGGGCATTGTTTTGAAACTGAAGTCCTACCTGAAAGATACTAGAAGTTTGGAAGAACCAGAAGTTCAGAGCAGGGACAGGGCTCCTGCCCAGCTAATGTGAAGTACCCCAAGAATCATCACTCAGGGTGCTGCTCTCTTGGAGCCTCTCCCCTGGGAGTTCTTGCTCACTTTCCCTTAATTTTGCTCTATGGAAAAGACATTGAGCTCTTGGAAGGCTGGGGTAGCAGGACTGTTGTGAATTTGAGGCCAGACTAGATTATATAGTGAGTTCAAAACCAGCCTGAGCTACTGAGTAAAAGCTTGTCTCCGAAAGCTGAGAGCCAGCAAGATGGCTCAGAGGGTAAGGGCATTTGCCGCCAAGCCTTAGGACCAGAATTTGATTCCAGGAACCATATGCTTGAAGTAGAGAACCACCTTTCTCCATGTCCCCCAACTCCTCAGCTAAATAAATGTTAGAAGAAAAAACAAACAAAAAACAAACAAAAAAAAATGTTAGAAGAAGAATCAAGCCAGGTGACATAGGTCTGCAGGCCTAGCTGCTTGGGAGACTGAGGCAGGAGGATGATAAGTTCAATGACAGTCCAGGCTATAGAGTGAGCTCAAGGCCAGCCAGAGCAACTGACGTCCTTTCCAACCCAAGGGTAAGGGTGTGTGTGTGTGTGTGTGTGTGTGTGTGTGTGTGTGTGTGTGAGAGAGAGAGAGAGAGAGAGAGAGAGAGAGAGAGAGAGAGAGAGAGAG